GGGGAACAAGCAGAACTGCTTTGGTGAACTGACCTTCTCACCGGGGCATCAGCCATGCGGGGCTCTGTAGGGGGAGCCAGGTTTAGCTCTAAGTGCAGTGGAGGCCGCGGGAGAGTTTTAATCTGGGGGGCAGCAAGGTCTGATTGCTTTGTTCCAAGCACTCTGGCTACCCGTGGAGCATGGGCCGGGCAAGAGGGGCCTGTGGAGGCTGCTGCCTCCATCCAGCACCATAAGGTGATGGCTGGGACCGGGACACTGGCCGTGGAGATTCATGGAAGTTGGAAACCTTGGGGGTTATTTTGAGACTGAGCCAGCAGTGCTTGGTGTTGGGGGATAGGTAGGGAAAGAGCAAGAAGGGCTGACCTCCAAGTATTTGACTTTGGTGAGTTGGGGAAGAGGGAAAGAGAAGCAGCTTGTATGCGTCAGACATTTTGCTTTAGCCAGGATGAGTGTGAGTGAGATACCTGGGAGCCGTCCAATAAGGGTGCCAGGTTGGCCGCTGGCACTCAGGGGAGAGGTCAGAGCTAGAGGTAAAGATTAAGGAGTCATCTGTGAGCAGGTATTTAAAGCCACGGGACAGGATGAGATCACCCAAAAAGCGTGCCTGGGTAGAGGAGCGGAGAGGGCCTGGAACAAATCCTCAGGGCACTAAAATCCACAGGTTAGATCAGCAGCAGCTGTTCAGTGCTAACTATGGGCCAGGTGCCCTGTGAAGCAGTGAAATTCCATTTCCTGGAACCCCCACAATAAGGGCCTATTGGCCCCATTTTGCAGATGAGGAAACTGAGGCTCATAGGAATAGCGAAGGGCAACTCAAGTGTCTGGAAAGCAACAGATGCCTCCCCTCGCTATGGGGGCAGGGGTCTCGTCCTGCAGGGTGGTCTCTCTCATGCTCAGAAAGAACTGGCCCCACTCCTACCACCCTCATTCATTCATTCATTCATTCATTCAGTGCCCATCGACTGAAAGCACACACTAAGGGCCATATTTGAGTTGGGCAGTGGGGATTCAGGACTGGATGGCACTCCCTGCTCTTGGGGACATAGGGGCAGAAAGACAATTAACAAACAAACCCTCAGGAAAAAATTGTACAATTATAAATAACCCTCAGTCCAGTGGAGGAGAAGAGTGGGAATGGCTTCTCAAGAGAAAAGAGCAGAGGTGCCTACTGTAGATGGATGAGATGAAATTCAAGCTGAAGCTTGGAAAATGAGGAAGGGTGGCGAAGGGAAGCTGGGGGAAGAGCAGCTAGGCCAGAGGAAACACAAGGACAGAGGCCCAATCTGGAGTGTTACCAGTTCACAGGGGGCAGAGAATGGTGGGATGAGACACTTGGACTGTATTCTGAGGGCAATGGGGAGCTATGGGAGGCTTTTGAGCAAGGGAGTGGCTCTTTGGTCCATTTCACAAATATTTATTGAATATGACGCTTCATGTTCCAGATCCTGGTCTAGGCACTGAGGATGCTATATCTGAACAAAACAAAAATCCCATCTTGATATCCTAGAGCTGTGCCATCAGCCACATATGGCTAATTAAATTTACATTAATAAAAATGAAATGAAATTCTAGATCCACGAGCCACATTTCAAGTGCTCAGTAGCTGCCTGTGGCTAGTGGCCATTGTACCAAACAGCACAGATAGAGAAACTTTCATCACTGCAGACAGTTCTACTGGACACTGATGCTGTGGTAAGAGGAGACACAATAAAACAAGTAAATATTTAATAGCACATATATCATACATAAAGGAATAATGATAGGTTTTCTGGTGGAAAATAAAACAGGAGAGGAAGATAAGAATTACCTGTTGGGGTGGATATTTACATCTTAATTGGGTTGCAGGGAAGGCCTCACTGAGGAGGTGACATTTGAAAGAGGTGAGGGAGTGAACCATGCAGATATCTGGGAAAAAATAGTTGCTGGCAGAGGAAACAGCCAGTGGAAAAGCCCTGGGGTGGGAAGATGACTATTATGTTCAAGGAAAGGCACGGAAACCAGTGTGGCTGGAGAAGAAAGAGAGAGGGGAAGAGTGGGAGGAGATACCTGTGAGGTGATGGGCAGGACCTTGTAGGCCATAGTGAATACTTTGGTCTTTACTTTGAGTGAGTTGGGAGTCATGGGAGAATTCTGAGCAGACAAAGGACAGGACCAACTTACATTGTTAAAATGTAAGCTATGGCTGTTCTGTGGAAAAGAGACTATAGAGGGCCAAAGGCAGAAGCAAGGAGTCCAGTGAGGTAGCTACTGCTGTAGTCCAAGTAAGGGATGATGGTTGCTCAGACCAGTGGGGGAGGTGAGAAGTGGTCAGATTCTAGATATACTTTGGAGAGACAAAGGATTTCTGGACAGCTTAGAAGTGAGGCATGAAATAGTCAAGAACAGTCTCCGAGTTTATTCTGGAAGAATAGAATTGCCATTTACTGAGCTGGGAAGATGGAAGGAAACAGGCCAGATAGTTCATGGTGTACCAGGCTTCCCCAGCTCCCACCACGGCCCCATCTGGGGTCTCAGCTGCAGCCCAAGGGAAAACGGTGATACCCAGCCCTCGTCTCTCCCAGGAATCTTCAGGTCTACCTGGGGAAGCACAACATTTATGAAAGAGAGAGTTTCCAGGAGGAGAGCTCTGTTATCCAGACTGTGACCCACCCTGGCTACAATGCTGCCACTCATGACCAGGACATCATGCTGTTACGCCTGAAGCGCCCAGCCAGTCTCTCTGAACGCATCCGGCCCCTGACCCTGGAGAGAGACTGCTCGGCCAACCGCACCAACTGCCACATCCTAGGCTGGGGCAAGACAGCAAATGGTCAGTAATACAAGGACCATGGGGAAGCCATCCAATGGGTCATGGGTAAGGGGGACCCAAAGGTGAAAGGTCAAAGATGAAGGTGATCCAGTGGTGAGGACCAATGGGGTAGTGTATCACTGGGTGAAAGGTGAAAGGTCAATGGGGATGGAAGGCAAATATGGGAGTTGGGCCAATGAATAAATAGCCAATGGAGAAAGTAGACCAATGGGTGAGTGGTATGAGTGGATGGGCCTGAGATGAAGGCTCAGTGAGGAGGGGTCAGGGCCAATGGGGAAATACCAATCAGGAAGGGGGCCAGTTGTCGAAAGTAACCAACCAGGGTGCACAGATGATCAGAAAGGGGTTAAGTGGAGGGAGGACTCATGAAAGAAGAGAGATTAACAAAGCAGGGGAGCCAGAGGAAGGGTGTTCATTGCGAGCGTGAACGGGTAGAGAAAGCTGATAGGTGAGGGACCACTGGGGGAGAGTGAACAGTCAGGAGGAGTCAGTAGAAGACATAAGTCCAATAAATCAGCAGGAACCATTGAAGATGGGCCTGTAAGTAAAGGGCCAGAAAAGAAGGTGCATGATTGGATGAAGGGCCAATGGAAGGGTAGAGCCATTGAGGAAAGGGCCAATGAGGGAGGTGGACCACTGGGTTTAAGGCCAATAGGAAGGGAGAGCCAATGGGCAAAGAAGGGACCAGTTAGGAAAGATCTCACTGCCCAGTGGTGACCAATCAGGATGATCCAATGAGCAAGAACGGGCCAATGAAAGAGAGAGGGCTGTAATAGAGGAGGTGAGTCTAGAGGTCAGCTGGGACCCCTGCAGAAGGTGGGCCCATGAAGGAGAGAAAAGTGGGGGCAAGACCTAGGAGAAAGAAAGACAAAGAGGGAGCCAGGACCTATGGAGAAGCGGCCACTAATGAGGAAGACCAGCCAATGGGAGGGAAGAACGACATAAAGAGACACCGATCACAAGTGAGGGTTGTAAGAATGGAAATGGACCTTGAGAAGGAGAGACAAGCAGGGAGAAGGGAGCTGGCCGGCAGGAGGACCAACAGAGGAGGGAGGCAGGGCGGGGAGCTGGGTGTCGCAGGGTGGGCTGTGCAGTGAGCCTGTCCCCTCTCTCTCAGGTGTTTTCCCGAACACTATCCAGTGTGCAGATGTCCACCTGGTACCTCGTGAGGTGTGTGAGCGCGCCTACCCTGGCCAGATCACCCCGAACATGGTGTGTGCCGGCGACGAGAAGTATGGGGAGGATTCCTGCCAGGTGAGCCCGACTGGGGCGCCCACCAGCTCTGGGATGAAGGACAGAGGCAGGAAAACAGACGGAGGCAGGAAGAGGGAGACGCACAGACCTAACAGAGCTATACAGGGAGACGCACACAGACCCAAACAGGGATACACTGGGGGGACGCTGACACATGGAAAGGGTGAGAGACTCAGTTCGACACTCGGAGACACAGTCAAGGACAGGCAGACCTACACGGGACGTCCAGCAGAGACAGGAAATGCCGCCACGGATGGAGATGGAGAGAGCAAGAACCAGAGAGCCACAGGGAAGAGGCAGATGGCAGGAGGGGGCTGCTGTTCTTAAAACGGAGCCCCCACAGGCCCTGCTCAAACACGGGCCTGTGGGGGGGGCCTAGCTAGGGAGAGCAGGGGCTCCATCCCCACGCCCAAATGCCTTTAACTTGGGTTTCCTCCACTGTGGCCCACTGGGTCTCTCCACCTTATGCCAAAACTTAATTTGAAGGACTTGGACCAGCCAAGAAGGGGAAAGAGACCAAGATGAGGTGATGTGCAGTGAACTGGGCGGAAAGAAAGGGCCCGCACGCCTCTTCCCCCCCCCTCAGGCGTGGTTCTGTTCTTAACCTCTCTTCTTTTTCTCTCTATGCCTCTCTGCTTCTCCATGCTCCTGAGTATCCCATGGTCTCTCTGTTTCCCTGTCTGTGACTGTGTGTGTGTCTGTCTGCTCCCGAGGATTTCTCTCCACCTCTGAGTCTCTCTTTCCCTCTCTACATGCCTCTGTGTCTCCTGCTGTCTCTCTGCCTTTCTCTCCCTGCATTTCTGACTCTCCCTCTTCCCTGCAGGGTGATTCCGGGGGCCCACTGGTGTGTGGAGGCCGCCTCCGAGGACTTATATCATGGGGCAACGTCCCCTGTGGATCTAAGGAGAAGCCAGGGGTCTACACCAACGTCTGTAGATACTACCAGTGGATCCGAAAAACCATTCAGGCCAACTAACTCTGACGTGTGACATCCAACTCTTGACCTTGACCCCCCACTTACTGGCTCTAAAATATCTCTGACCAAGACCTTTCCTTCCCCTCACCCATCTAGATTGACACTTAATGCTTAATTCTGCCTGATTTTACCCCAGCCCCAGCCTTGCATCACTGGGGATGAGTGCGGATACAAGCTGAGATCTTGTCCATCCCCCCGCCCCCACTAAGAGAATAGAGGAAGATCCCTTCTAAGCAGCCTTCCCTCCTGATTATCCCATGGGCCTGGTGACTTCCCACATAGGAGTGGTCACACGTCTGGAAAACACGGGTTGGAATCCCAGCTCTGCTGCTTGCGACGCATGTGCCCTTGGGAAGTGCCTTCCGTCACGGTGCAGACTCTCCTCTGTAAAACAGGGATAGTAACAGGACATTCCTCATAAGTCAGGGGCACGGTTGGGAGGAGTCAAGGTCTCAGGCACGTGAAACACAGGCACTGGTGCCCGGCCCCCCGCCTGCTCAATAAAAAGTGAACTCATCATTGGTGATGCTTTTTGCTTTTCTCCCACCTCTGCTCTGAAACCCAGATATTACTTGCCCTGGCCTGTGTGACTCAGTGGGTAGGGCTCGGTGTGTGCACGGAAGGGTCTTGGGTTTGATTCCTAGTCAAGGGCATGTACATGGGTTGCAATTTCCATCCTGGCCCCCAGTCGGGGCACATGCAAGAGGCAGCCAATCAATGTGTCTCTCTCACATGGACGTCTGTCTCCCCTCCTGCTCTTTCCCCCATCCCTCCCACTCTCTCTAAAAATCAATGCGGGGGTGGGAAAGAGGCTGGGACCTTCTCCTAAGGGTAATGGGGAGCCATGGAAGGGTTGTGAGCAGGAGACATGTAGGATGCACCAGGTGAGAGAGGCTGGAGGTCAAAAGGAGTTTGAGGTGATGGTGCATGTAGAGAAATGAGGGCTGAGCTGGGGAGGGAGCCGGGAGGGCTGGAGAAGGGAGGCTGAGTGTGAATTCACATACAGAGAAGAGTGGATGGGTGGCCTTCTCTTGGAGGGAAAGACCTGCAGAAAAGCCTGCGGGTGTGAGAATGCCTGCTGGGCCCCAGAGGCGGCAAATCACTCAGGATGGTGCGGGCTGGGGTTTGAGGCAGGAGAAGTGGGTGACAGGGCTGAAAACTTGGGTCAGTGGAAGATGGGGCTGGGCTGGGCCTTAAGTGCCAGGCAGAAGGTGGCCTTGATCCTGGGGGCCCTGAGAAAAGGAAGGACAGGGTCAGATCCGGGTATTAGAAAGATCTCACG